CCCTCAAGGTGGTGTCTTGGCCCGGATATGTGATTGTGTGCGCTTGGGAGCAGTCGGACGGGCCAGAGACGTTCAGCAGGAGCTTGCCAGCCCCCCTCGGCGTCCATTGCTTCAAGCGACCTCAAAGGACAGTCGCACACGAGAGTGGCCGTCTCATGCACCGAGCAAGCCACAGAAGGCGTCCCTGCTGCTCGTAGTGATGAATGGCGAAGCCTGCGAGGTCCCCCAAGCTCACCCTTTCAAACGCCCCTCTTGCTGTGGGGCGCAATCTTCCCCAGCCATATGTGAACGGAGCCGACGCAGGTGAGCGCTTGATGGCCGGGCAGTTTTGAAACAAATCGGAAAAGACAAGTGTCGGGCGTGATTTTCATGAGATCCCTTCGCCTGCCAGGGAGAGTGACGGAGTTTTGATTCCCTGACGGACCCCCATCCCCAAGACTGACATGGTTCTCGGAGCTGTGTGGGGGACTATTGTGGGCCAAGGGCGTCCGAGTGGGAGAGGTGGGAGATGGGGCGTCAGGCAAGAAACTCCCCCCCCCCCCCCCCCCCCAAGCTGGAGGCTTCAGACAGACGGTGTGGCAGTGGCGCCGGGCGGCGTATTCCCCGTCCTCCCTTGGCGGGAGATGCGCTCGCTCGGTGGGCCGGTCGTTCAACCTCTATGACCGGGGCGGGTATTCCTGAGCGACATACCAAGCGCCCCCGTGCTCCGCCCTGCGCGGTGGTGCATCCGTCTGTCTTCATGGATACCTCTGAGCATGTTCACGAGGGGAGGGGGGGGGGGGGCGGAATGCCACACCAGCCCTCACGCTCGAGTCTTTCCGCTTTCCCTGCGTCTCGGAAGCCCGCGCACGCCATGGCCACTGACTTCCGGATCTTATCCCGACCTATTCATCAGCATATTCACTGCGGCAGTGTAGCAACTCGACGGGGCTAGTAATGGAGCAAAAATACCCCCGGATAAATACGCCGCGCGTCTAGGACCTCTGTGACATGCTTCCCCCCCCAGAGGAAGCGAGGGTGCAAATACTTCAAGGTATCTATGCCCTAGACGATCCAAACGACCACACATACTCGCATGCGCACACGCACTCGCACACAGAGGCTTCCCCCGGGCCGAAATTTGCTACAGAGCACGGACAAACATCGAGGCCGCGATGTTGCCCTGCCGCCCAGGCATGCGCTTGAAAAGCCGGCGGGTCAACCGCCACTGCGTGGCCCCCGCCATGTGTGTGAGTTATGGAGGGATATCGCTGTGTCCGCCATTATCATCTCGCTCTCCCTCCCTCTCCCTCCCTCTCTCTCTCTCTCTCTCTCTCTC